GAGTCGAATGATTTCATTCTTGGTTGGTGCCATCCGCTGGACAACTTGAGCCAACTTTGCAAGATAGGCAAGCACTGAAAGTAGCGCTCCAGCATGGAATATGTGAGGACCACCGAGTCGTGTTTTGTACCTTCGGTTTCGGTGTAGCAGCCGTGGCGCTGTCAAGCGCCAAAATGCTTCGGAGTTGTTCAGGCTGGTAAGCGCCACCATCAAGGTCTGCACCATTTGAATGACGTCGTCAAAGTGCATAGATATCAACTTTCGGACGACTAGGTTGAGGCGATGACTGGAACAACTCAACTAAGGTACCATCATGTTTCGCGATAGACCGAACAGTTGTCGGCACTCTTTCAGTATTGCCCCCGGTCGAATTTAAAAACAATTTTAATTGTGTTGTGTCGTAGAAACCAAATATACTTGACTTGGGCATCACATCATCCGGATAACATCCGGATGATTTTGGGGCACATTTGTGACTATCGTCCCCGATTTGAGCACGAAGGTCAAATGTTTGAAGCCAAGGACCAATAGGATTAATACTCGAAACACAAACAACCCCCGTTAACTTCATTCTTGATTCCATCCCACAGTGTGCACTCTACCTACAGCCACCCCATGGATGCCCGCTACAACCTCGATGACCTGGAGGACTTCACGTTCGACAGAGTCATGCAGGTTACAGCGAACGATGCCGACTTCCTGCGCTGGTGCATGAGTGTAGGGCTACTCAATCAAATGCTCTATGCTCTACCCAAACTGTTCGAAGGACATGAAGCTGTTTGCCGCCACCCAACGCTGGCGCTGCCGACGCGCAACGTGTGGGTCAATTGAACGAAGTGTGAAGTCTGGTTCCATTTTCTCCAAGTCGAATCTCCCCGTCCGCACCAATGTTCGTATTATGCGGCATTGGGCCTCACGACACCCGGTTCCTGACGTGATTGAAGACCTACGTGTGGCTTCAGCAACCGCAACGGACTGGTACAACTTCTGTCGCGATGTCTGCCCTACGAAAATACTTTCGATTGAAATGAAGGTAGTCAAAATTCATATGACTTAAATAATTTCATATCATTTATTCAAATTCATATTGTCTACTGATTTCCCTCGCTAATTGAAACGGGGAAAACTCGATAATTTTTATATTTTTATATTATTAAATGTCGAAAGGTTGTTTTCAAATTTTTGAATTAGCTCCCATCTTTCGTGTTCATAGTCAATTCCACATACTAGTATTACTTTCAGTCACAAGCATATTACAACCTTGAACATGAAGTCCAAGGCGAAAACGAGGATGTCCATGGTGGACAAGCATGAACAATATTCGAGACACTTAAACGGCCCTGGCGCTTCCTATTCTGACTTGGCTATATGGGCAGCCACAACGTTTGGGCTCTCGACGACGCCGTCCAAATCAACCATCGGAAACACTCTTGCCGGCAACATCTACAACATGGATGAAACATCGTTCTTTTACTGCATGTCATCGCACCGCTCAATTACACGCAATCGAGTTCCCGGAACAAAAAAGAACAAGAAAAGAATCACGCTTGCTCTTACCACGAATGCTGATGGGAGTGATGTCGTCGACCCGCTCTTTATGGGTAGTGCTCTTCGCCCGCGATGCTTTCGTGGCCAGTCTGGAGAAGAGCTCGGATTCGACTACCATGCAAGTAAGAAGGCTTGGATGAATGGTAACATCTTCAACACGTATCTGAATGCGTTGGATGCCAAAATGGCTGCACAAGACCGAAAGTTTTTGATGCTCGTGGACAATGCACCACCGCACCTACTTCACACCGAGACTGTGTTGAGAAACATTCGAGTTCGAATGCTGCGGAAGAATACAACTGCTTACCTTCAACCACAAGGTGCTGGCATCATTGCGTCGTTCAAGTCCAAGGTCAAACAGCGACAGCTGGAGAACGCGCTCGACCAAATCGATGCTCTCATGGCGGGGCGGCAGAAAGATTGTACGAGGTTCCACTTGTGTAGCCGATGGGCTGGGCCAAAGAGGCGTGGCGTTCCGTGTCACAGTCGACTGTGACAAATTGCTGGGCCAGAACTGGCATTCTTGACGGCGGCTTGTCTGTGTTTAGTGAGAGGATGTCTGAACTGGTGGTTGGCAACCAAGATCGTGTGGAATAATTTGACAAATGATAACTGTAACATTTTATAAACTGTTAAACATTGTCAAATGTCACCGTTTCGAATACAGGGAACTACGGAACTTACAGTTAAGGCCTACTTTTTCTTCGGGTGGAATGCAAATACTTGATGGTGGTTGGCTGCCTTACTTCGAAGTACGCACGCCTTTCCTGCCAATCGGAGACGTGATGCCCATTTTTATTGGCTCGAGTTGAGTCCGGATTTATATTTTGGAGGTCATTTTATTTGACAATCAAGGAGCCACTAATTTACAAGCAAGTCGAATGCCACAGACCAAGTTTTCTGAAGGATATTAGTTCTTGCGTTACAATGAAAAAAGTCGACTTGATTGATACAATGCTTCGAGTGTAAGCGAAAGCGTTTGACGCGGTGGCGCAATGCTTAAGTGTGACGGCATCAAAGGATAAAGGAAGGGAC